CATTACATGGGAAAATGGTGAACGTCTCCGTTTTCATCCCGATTACAATCCTTAGCCTTTCGGGCATTGCGTGTTTTTCTCGGGCAAGGAAGTCACCACCCCCCCCCCCCCCCCTAAGTCCAAAGGTACCCATACGCCTATGATTAGATGAAGTAAGAAAAAAAAAAAGTTCGAGGAAGAATTATCTGCCTTTCTACGAATCTTATTGTAATTGATCCATTCAAAGTTCATATACGCTTTTAATGAGAGCTGTGAAGTGCTGAGAATTGATTTATTTTTAGATTTTCCGGGAAAAAAAACAAAAAAAAACAGCATCGGGGAGATGAAACCTTAATGATGAAAACTGATACAAAACAGGTTTGAATAAGATAAAAACAGTAAAACTTAAAGTTTGATTACTCCAAAATAATGAAGTAAGTATACATAGTAATGACACCAGAATTAATTAATAAACACTGACAATCTAACGAACCCCTTGAAGCATTTTAATCGTAAAGCGCTTTATACGCAGTTTTGAAAAAGGTGCTGACGGGCCAGCGACTTTCCTAAAGCTCTATTATTAAGGCATACCCTTCTAGCAACAACTGACTTTTCCTTGAGAAATTTCCCTTCTTGATTAGATGTAAAGAGAGGCTTAAAATGAAATTTGCCTCCGATTTTCCTTGGTCCGTATATGGTTCTATTTTCCTATCACCATGTTATTCAGCCCCCTTACGAATTATCTGCAGCATACAGTTTACAAAATTAATGATCTTCCTGCGTGCAGTTTATTTATTTCTTTGAGTAATAGTCTCATGTTCTCCCAAGAGAATATAATTTCTTGGATCTTTCTTTTACGAAAGCCATATAGCCTGATGGATAATACGATTACAAATTTATACTTGAAAGTCTCTCTTTCATAGTGTGTTTTCACCTTACGATAGATTCTTTATGACATCAAATCAGCTGTGTATACTTGTGCACATAAGATGAAAGTTAACTCTTGTCAGATTTCCATTGATGGATGCCACTCTTGAAAATCCACTGATCTTGCTAGTGCGAGTCAGACAGAAAGAAAAGTAAATACGTCGTCAAAGAATCCTTCTGACAGTCGAATCATTTTTCAGTATTTTTTTGTTTTGTTTTTGTTGTTCATTTTTTTGGCCTTGGCCGGAATTTAAAAGGATTTTAACTGAATAATCCAGTAAAAAAATGGAATTCGTGGAAAGTTTGGCTTTAAGTCAAGTTCTATCCTGCAACCATCATGTACTTCTAAAACATTTTCTGGGAAGATATCTGCGTGATGAATGAATTCATCCATTCAAATGGATTCTTGTGTAAAGCCGATCGTTCTTTACTTGGGATTTATTTATTTTGAGAATTTTTTAGGAAAGAGCAAAAATTCATTCTCTCCGATAGTAACTGATACGTTGGATGACTTTTTCATAATTTACGTCTCGTTAATTAAAATCGCGGACAAGTTCATTTAGTGGGCTAGTAAAGACGAAGGTAGTTCCTATACCTACCAGAAACAGTGTAAATATTTTCACTATTGAAAAGCGTGCAAATTGCTCAACAAAACTGAGTTTTTCTTAGAAGAATATTGATATGCATGTTCAAAGCCATGGTGTTCTTAGAAAGCCAAAATATGATTGTTATTTCCGGATCAAAATAAGCACGTGTATTCGGGGAAAGCCCCTCTTCTATGAATTCTGTAACACTATAGTCTAGATAGATCAATAAATGACTGCGCTATAAGGAGTGAATAACCAGTGCAGTGGTACCTTCTCTGGCGACTGCTACGCACGTACGAAGAAACTGTGTTGAGCAAGGTTAGATCTCCAGGTAACAAATATTTTTTGCTTTGTATAGCTAACTTAGCTCTCCAACTTACGGCATTTTTAAGTCTAATCTTCCGCTTTGCATAATTTGCGATTCAAACATAACTTACATTTCAATGGTGAGTCAGATTGTCTGAGCATTGTTCGTCGCTAACTTACCACCTTATTTGATATCTTTGTGTCTCAGTGATCCTGGAAATCTGGACCTGTTTTTAAGCAGTGAAATTTATCCTGTGATCATCCGATCACTGAATCATTTTGATTACTTCGAAAACAAATTGATCCATTCCCGTCATGAAAACTACAATCGGCCTTGATAATATTTTGTCAGAGGATTGAAAAAAAAAGTCAAATGTGAGAGAACTCAATATTTCCTTAACTTTTCAGTCAAGGTGTAGCACCAATGATTTGATAAATCTTAACGGTTCCGTAGTGAAAATTCAATTTTTGCCTGAATCGCTTCTAGAAAACTGTAAATATTGATGACTGCCGGATAAACTTTGAAGGGATGTTTTCAGAATATTGTTCTTTTAGCAACGAAGTTACTAGCCCATCAAGTATAGATCTGCAATAATGGAAGGTTTTTTTTCCGCACTCAAATAAGAGATACATGGTTTTCAGAGAAAAAACATAAACACGAGTGACTTTTCTCAGAAGAAATCTGACAGGTTCCATTTACAAAGACATTGGTTGCATTCTTGAAAAGGTCAGGGCATGATCGGAACAAACAGTTCTTGGTAACTGCATAAAGGAAAAGCCGTGTTTCTACCGTGACAAGATAGGGTGGCACAATTGGAGTATTACTAACTCCTTAGAGAGGATCAACGCTAAACTTAAGAACAATGTGCAAATCTGAATTAAAACCAAAACCAATTCCACGAAGGAAGGCTAAAAAAAAAGAAATTCAGCTGACGTAATATTTATTTTAATATCCCTTTCGAGTAAAAAGTTTGCATTTACATAAGTTTTCAAGGCAGTTTAGGTTTGAATCGTGGAAGGTGCTGATCGGATAGGCCGATTACAACTGTTTAGGATAAAGAAACTCAATCAAGATCATCGGGACTTATATTTCCATCATAATCTCCGCGGCTGCAAGGAGACCGTGGAATTCAAGAAGTAGCATAGGTAAGACTTATTTTTCAAATATATGTTACTTTTTCTTGTCGAATTCATTTTAGATTACGATTTCATTGCTGTCTTGATCAGTGTTGCGAGAACTCTTCAGCTGGTTGGTTTGCAAGACACTACTAAATTGAGCAGGTTCATAAACATCACAAGGTCTACAAGGCAAGCTTTTAACCCTTTAATACTTGCTTTTCAATTCTGTTACTAAGACTGAACATGCCAAATCCATAATCGCATCGAAATAGACACTCATCCATCGAAAACAACATATAGCGTTGTAACTGAGCAACGCCTTTCATCGGAGACTTGGCGTTAGTGAATGCAAGAAAAATTTCATTTCCTCATTCCCCGGAAAAAGATTCATCTCACTGAACTGTGACGAACTCATTCCTTGTTAAACAGTCTTTACCTTTTCTATATCATGTGATGTGTTTACTGGAATTCGGGTATTAAAATGAATATAAAATAACCTTAAGGAAACTTCTCGGAAACTCCATGGTTCAACATCTGCAATTTCATTGAAGTACATAAAAAGGTAACTGGCAAACTTAATTTTGGAGACCACGGGATAGGACCGAAATATGGCTCATATTTTCCGGCAAACGGTGGATCTCAGCCGAGAAACTCTCCAGTAGTTGGCTTTTAAGCAGTTTGTGCCGGCTTTAGTTACAAATGAATCGTCCCTCCCCCGGGCTAAAAGACATTTCTCTGCCGCCTCTAGATACGAAAACCCAAATACACAATGGGAAAAATGGGAACAAATTCGCCATCCAAATGCAGATGCACTAACCTTCGGAGTTCGAGGTATCACATCTTAAATTACATGCAAGAAAAGACTCAACGGAAAACTTGAAAAGTTCGAGATCTGAGATGAATACATTCTAAATAACCCTGTTGTCCTCGCCGAAACCAGTGCCAATTCAGTAAGTACACTGTACGTGCTTTGTTTCGTTCGTAAAGAAATCTTAACAAATTGAGTCTGGCAGTTGTTTGCGAAAGACGAAATCTGATTTCCTAATGGGGCGAAATCCGTAGGTCTGGGTTTCGGCTCTTCCGTGGAGGGGAAGAACCATCCGTGTCGAGTCGAGTCAAGTTTTCTAAGCCAAGAACGAAAAGTGATCGAAGTGCGAACGAAATACTTCCAAACTACTAACTTTTTGTTAGCGTGATGTTCTAACTTGTGTAAGATTCAAACGTGCGTGACTTATCCCTTGCGTGCGTTACACTTGATTTAAAATGTAACTCGTTGATTATCATGTGACTCGTTTGATTACACTTCTAAGTTCTCGATTTTCGATGGATATTATATAAGTGGTGGCTTTTGTTACAGCGAGTTTTCATTCTAAATTAATCATTTGTTATTTCACTCTGCCCGTTCACATCAATGGGAAGAAAAGTAAATTTCCTTAGGTCTATTGTAATTATAGTTGTAATTGTTCCTTTTATTCAAACCATCATCATCATCAACGTAATCGGATCCGTTCTATTTACTCATTTGACAGTGAACGTGGAAAACATTTTCCGTTTTTTAAAACCATCTCTTGGTCGAAGTCTATAATCTGAGGATGTATGTTCTTGTCATGGGTAGTAAGTTTCGACGTGAGCTTCTCCTTTCGTTATTTTATTGTATTCCAGATAGTTGCTATACTTATATGATTCGATTGTAAAGATAACAATGTTGGCAGTCAAGTGAAATGATGTCGAAAAATAGTTTTGATGAAAAACATGAAAATATCTATTATCAGCTAAGTAAAAACTGTATTTTTTTTTTTAGTTTAATAACAAAAATAATAAACCCTCCAAGGGCTTCATGTGGGATACTTTTACGAACACAAGACTCGCAGCATTAGTTAGAACACACTATAGCGGACTGTTCAGTCAGAATTTTTTCCGAAATTATTAACATAAGCGGCAAAACTGTGTCAGAGAAGGCATAGCCAGAGTCAGTTCAAATCTCCTTTTTGATTCATAGTATCCCAAAACCTGAATGTTCCTCTATACAGATTTTGTCAGAACTTTTCTCTATCCATTTTGTTGCAGACATTCCTGATACCACGTGATTTCATTCCCACCTGATCTGACCTGTTCTGTTGTTAAAAGTTCCACAAGACTGTACAATGGCAAATGAACCGCAGGTAATTAAAAAATTGAAAACCAGCTGGGTTGGTTGTCGATTGGAAACAGTACTTGTTCTCTCGTACGCTACAACCTAACATTTGGGCTTGCTTTGTCTGTTTTCGCTTACGAGCGAATTCAAGCCACGGTAGAATTAAAGGAAAGTACAGCTTTATTTATTGCTGGGGTAGTTAACTGTAATAATAAGGGTTTTTAAATCCCTCTAAAACGTTTTATTTGAGGGAAAAATTCAAAAATTTAGGAGAGATTAGGATATTATGGCAGAATTTTCATCTTTTTACTATTTCTAAGAGTTTGGCCTATGGTTAAAATTTATTAACGGGCGTTCACTACTCAACTCGACCAAAATCTCTCTCCTTTTTTTACTCCTCCGCCAATATTGCGTCGTTTGCTAACGCGCTTCGTTATACAAACTAAATGCCTGGAACGGACAAAAAAAATTGTATAGAAGAGAACTGTCGAGTCTGGGGGAAAAAAAAGAAGCAAACAGAACAAAACAGAACGGAAAAGAGCAGAAGACACGTGAGAACCAGACCACAACAGAAAAACAATTACAAAAGAATACAAACCAACAAGCAGTAACACTGAAAGCGTTGATACTCTGCGACTCCTTTATTCTTCGTCCCAGTTCGATTGATCTAATTAATGTCGAAGAACACTCTTTTAGGAGAGCCAGTTTCGTGACTGGACATTGGACTCGACATAGGAACAACGAAGAACTCTTAAGAGTCCTCCAAGGGGCTAAAAAAACCTTTTGGGCAATCTAAAGCTAGGACTGATTTTAAGATTATAATCAAATGTAAGTCTTGGCTATTTCTCGCATATAATCATCCCAAGTAAATACTAACACAGTTCAAATAATGGAAACATTCGGCCATGACAAAATCAAACTATACATTTGCCTGTCGAGTTTTCTATTTTTCTCTTTTTGTCTCCCTGACTGAAAGAAGAGCCAGTCAAGACGAATATCAAACTGTGACAAATCAGCTCCAAAGTCTAACACTCAATTTGAGTATCTAGGGGCGTCACTTTGAACAAAAACAAATTTTTGTTACAGGAAACGCATTCAAAAACAGAAACCGCTCTCCAACAAAGTAATGATCTGTCTGAAAATCAGATGCAGCAGTTGAGGGAGGATTTACAGTCAATTACACCTTTGGCCGACGCAGTGTGCGCTAGAGTCTCAGTAACCGTGAAAAGTCTCCATAAAGCTGCTGATTTTATGGACAAAGTGAGCACGACGCATAACTTAGCTCATGTAACTGGAAGCTCATTAGCATTGATTGGAACACTTTTTGCGATCAGTGGAGCATTTGCAACATTAGCCACGGCAGGCTTAGCCTCACCTTTTATGTTTACAGGGATGGCGTTCGGAGTCGTTGGGGCCGGAACCAACGTCGTGGCAAAAATTATCGAGTGGCTTATAAACTCAGAAGAAATCAAAAAAGCTCAGAAAGACTTTGAGGAACTCTGCGCTAAGCTACAGGAGGTGGCAATTAAAATTGAAAAATCTACCGATCGTGAAGAATCAAAATTTTGGTATCTGTACTACATCGCTAGAGACTTTGGAAACCCCGTTCGGAAGATCCTCAATGCGATCCTGTACCACAATGGGATGATAAACATATCGGTAGCCCCGTCCGTTATGCAAGCAGTAGGTCAGGCTAGTGCACAAGCAACTACACAAGTCATTGACGAGCTGGCCCAAGCAACAGTTAATGCAGGGTCATAAGGCATTGACGACGTAGCAAACGCATTCATTGGGCAAACAGCACTGAAAATAAGTGCACAAGGTGCCGACGACGTAGCACAAGCTGTTGGAGTCAACGGAATCAAACAAGCAGGCCGATTTGGAGCCAAAATAGTCATAGGCGTCAATGTTGCATTGTTGGCGTGGGATATCTTAGATCTGTCATATACGATCACTGATCTCATTACTAATAAGGGCTGTGCTGCATCCAAAGATCTTAGAGAAAAAGCACAAAAACTTGAAAGAATTTTACTTTAAGTGTAAATTACATTGGAAGTTCAGCAACCGTAATAGCTTGAGGAATTTAATCTCTTTGAAACATCGAAACTGAAACATTGCCTTTCATTCACGTAGAATTGTAATACAGGGCGTCAGGTTCCTTTGAATGCATGCTTTATAGCCTCATATAGGACTTTTGTAGGGCTTTAAAGCCTCAAAGAGCACTCTTGATATACCCTGTAGCAGGTCACGTAGCACGAACCCTGTACCTCAGTAGTAAACAATCTAGATTTATACATTTTTGTGCTTATTACTCACGGTCAGAGCCAATACCTTTTTTTATCATTTTCCTTCAGAAAAATTGATAATGATAAAAATGTAGCGGAACATTTCAAAGAACAGTAAATACAATGATTGGGAGACTTGAAAATGCCGCTATAGTTGAAGATATTGCACGATTGCACTTTAACTATATTCCCTAGGTGTTTAGTACTATATTATAAACATATCTACATACCGCATATATATGTGTATAAGTCGCTCAGAGGCTGACTTCTGCAATGGCAAATGAAATGATTAATGCTGGTTATAGCTTGGAATATGATAGTTATAGTGGTAGACAATGTAACCGAGGTGTTTTCGCTAGAGATTTTTCTATTGTATCTTTTTTTCACTTTGCAGATTCCAGTTATATAACCGTATCATAGCCTTTTATTTCCAAAGAGACTGCAAATAACGTTAATCAATTAAAAGAGACAGTATCTGAGCATTAGAATTTTTAAGTCTAGGTAGTCATCGCTAACTTTGACTCAAAAATCTTGTAGATGATTAGTACATTATGTACAATATGATTAAAGGATTTATACCTATGTCAATAAATTAAACTTGAGTGTTGTCGAAGTAAGGTCAACAGTGCAATTAGCCGGGCCAAGGGAGGGAGGAGAAATGTTTTAATCATTTCCTTAATTTGTGTTTCTAATTATTTTTTATTATAAGTTTCATATGGATTTCTTTCAGATTGTTGGGGGAAACGCTGCCTCAATGAATGGCATTGTAAGGAAGCCTTGACTGCCGCAAAACAATGATTTTTCAACGTTTTAAAAATGCCTCTTAACTACAATTTTAACAATCGTGTTTCCACTGATTACGTCCCTGAAAGCCCTTGCGAATGCGAGAGGAGAACTTTTGCGGAGCTTTTCCCCAACATGGAAATGTGACCTCTTAGAACGGGTGGAGTACTCAAGAGGCTCACTCCATAGCGTGAAAGAGATGCACTTTAAATCCTTTTGATCGCGTGTATAAAATTTCCTTAGGCTTTTGAGTGTTTTAAGTTTTAACAACTCCAGAATCACAGTTAATGATAACTTATTTGTCACGGTCATTGCTGAAAATTCATCAAAGTGTACGTTACATTTACCTCCGGAGTATTTGTTACAATGTGGTTTACCTCATAAAGACCCATAACCGTTGTTAGAGAAAATGAACGTTCCATATGATCGGACCAGGATTTATATAGTTAGGAGCATAGTAGCCAAAACAAAAACTTAACGAAAGCAGAGCACTACTGCTCGACGTCCCAGCGATTCCACGATACACACTCAAAAAAAACCGACTCACTCCCCTTCTTTCACTCCCCTTCTTTCACTCCCCTTCTTTTACTCCCCTTCTTTCACTCTCCTTCTTTTACTCCCCTTCTTTCACTCCCCTTCTTTTACTCCCCTTCTTTCACTCTCCTTCTTTTACTCCCCTTCTTTCACTCTCCTTCTTTTACTCCCCTTCTTTCACTCTCTTCTTTTACTCCCCTTCTTTTACTCCCCTTCTTTCACTCCCCTTCTTTTACTCCCCTTCTTTTACTCCCCTTCTTTTACTCCCCTTCTATTACACCCTTTCTTTTACTCCCCTTCTTTTACTCCCCTGACAACCCTAACTCTGTATATGTCCAACTAGTTGCGGCACTGAGCGGAGATGTTAAATAATTTTGTACATTTAAGAGATTATAACTCCAAGAAGCAAGCATGGCTTATTTTCACCTTGCCACCCCTCCTTAATTCGTTTTAAAGTTTTTTTCGCCGCAAGCCAAAGTTATGTAGCTTAAATATCAAACATACATATGCTGTTTCGATACCTCTACAACAGAGGGCCAGGCCTGTGTGGTTTATATTTAATTGCAGAAGGGTGGGTGTGTTTTAGTCACACCGGTAAGTAAAACTGAGTTTGGATGCGTTTTAATAACGATGGAAGGTTTGCTGGATATTATTTTACAGTTGTTGTCAAGCTAGATCGACGACTGGTTTGTGGCGAATGGACTTCGATTTGCCATGAAACGGGGAAACGAGAGGACCGTCTAAATCAATTATCTAATCAGTTGAACACAAGAGACTTTAAGTCACTTTATAATCTCTTAGTAGAACACTGATGAAGAAAATTAATTTGCGGAAACGAAGAGAAGAGTACTACATTATATCCGAATGCCTACCACTTTGACCATTTCATGAAAACCCTTTAAACTTGTTGAAGTACCTGGCTTATCTCTGTTTAGGGAAGCGAATATTCAGATTACCGAGACATGACTTTTTTGCGCGAAAAAGATTGCCATCGGTCAAATGAAACCGTATTGTTATACATAGCTGTACGATTTAAGAAATTAACGACTAATTCTATGCAATACAAGATCTAGAAAAGTGCGAGACGAATCGTAGGAATCGTTTAAACTTTTTCAATACTTGAGCGAAAAAGTTACGCGACTCCAGCAACTATGAAGGGAAAACCGGTAGTAAAATTGAAAATAGACTCTTTAGTCGGTGTAGCATATTACATTCATTTGGTGTAAGGAAGTTCCCTTTCACGGGCGTCTCTTGACAACAGAACGTCTAAAGCCAGATCCGCAGAAAATCAAAGAGATTACTGAGATACCACGACCTGAAAAGTCGTCTCAATGGTATGGTTAATTACATCAGTCTTTTCCTACCAAACCTTTCTGACGTGATGAAACCACTCCGTGAACTTACACATAAGGATGTAGAATGGTGTTGGCCTGACGTGCAAGAAAGGCTTGGAATGAGGTCAAGAGCCTCATCGCGTCTACTCCTTTGCTATCATACTACAAGCCCGATGAGCTGTTAGAACTGCAGTGTGACAGCAGTCAAAGTGGTCTTGGTGCGGCCCTTATGCAAGGTGGACACCCCTTAGCATATGCAAGCAGAGCGTTAACGGAAACAGAGTTCCGTTATGCACAGATTGAAAAGGAGATGCTTAGGATTGTTTTCGCCATGGAGAAGTTCAACGACTACGCATTTGGTAGAGAGGCAGTAGTTTTCAGTTATTACAAGCCACTGGAATCAATTTTTAAGAAGCCTTTGCATCGTGCCCGCAAGCGTTTGCAAGGCATGATCATTGGCCCACAGAAGTACGACTTAGAGATGAAACGTCAGAGGGGAGACACGATGTTCTTGGTAGACACACTTTCAAGGGCGTTTCTCCCTGCGGGTCAACAAGACGACTCTGAATTTGAACCATTAACATGATCAAGTACCTTCCGGTATCGGAAGAAAGGCTCTAACAAATTCAGCGGGGCACTGATGCAGACGAGTCTCTTCAGGTGTTAAAGACTGTGATCAAGAAGGGCTGACCGGAGCACATGATTAACTTACCTGGTATTATCCCCCTTATCTCAACATGCGGGACAAGACGTCTATCCAGGAGGGCCTCTTGCCTCATTTTTAAGGGAGAGCGTGTTATGGTTCTGCCTGCTTGAAGGAGCGAGCTGTTAAAACGAATTTACAGTTCATATCTTGGGGTCAACGGCTGTCTAAACAGAGCGCGTAAGTGTGTATATTGACCCAGGATGACAGGTGACATTAAGAACTATGTGTCGACATGTGAGGCATGTCGTAAATGTGAACGAGGCCAAGCTAAGGAAAAGATGATGTCCCATGAAACGCCAACTTGACCCTCGAAACGGGTTGCCGCCGACCTGTTTGAGGTCGCAGGAAAGACATAGTTAGTGACCTCAGATTATTACAACAATTTCTTTGAGCTCGACCATTAGAAATCTCCTTCGTCAGTGTGTGTCATCAGAAAGTTAAAGGCTCCTCTTGCGCGCCATGACATACCTGAGCGACTGGTGAGTGATAACGGTTCACAGTCTACGTCACATGACTTCCTGAGGTTCGCGATAGAATGGGACTTTGAACATCTCACGCGCAGCTCATATCACAGTCAGGGTAACGGTAAAGCAGAGAGTGCAGTGAAGGAAGCTAAGAATATTCTCAGAGAGTGCAGATCGAGTGGACGGGATGCATTTCTAGCCTTTCTCGATCACCGCCACAACCCACCTCCAAGTTAGTCCAGCACAGCGTCTCTTCAACAGGAGGACGAGAAGTCTCCTTACGATGACGGCAAATTTGCTCGCACCACAGCCAGTTCCAGACAACGAACTGTGCCGAAGCAAGCTTAAATGGCGCAAGCAGCGACATGCTCAGTACTACAGCAGAGGTGCTGTCGATCTGAAATCCTTGAAAAGAGGAAATACAATAAGAATAAATTAAACCGTTTCAGTTTGAAACGAATTGTCTCTCGTTGTCTCTCTTTTCTTTTGCACACTTCAAGGAACTGGGTGGTAGGTGAAAGATCTCGTAGATCTACATGTAAGTGCTTTATTTCTCGTCGTAAAGGGCGAAATAAAAGACCACATTGAATAGTGAAAATGCAATGGAAGATTTGATCCTCTCTTTCAGCCGTTTTACATGTCTCGCGTCAGGTTTAGACAAAGAAATCTGCTTAGCAACCCTTGCTTCATATGGGGGATTTTTTTTAATCCGTCATTTTCTTTGAAATATACACTCATATGTAACTACCGGTATTCCGAATGCTCTCGAAATATTTGATTACCTTCTTCAATTTGTTGCCGCGACAGAGGCTTCATGTAATATATCGAAAACGAGTGCGAGTGTTTGACCGGGGCTTCCAGACACCAAGAAACAGATAAAAGCACGGGTCCGTAGGCCGAGTGCTTTTATAGTTTCGAGGTATCTGGAGACCCCGGTCAAACACGAAGCCTGAGTTTTTGATATGGCCTCTAAAGCCCCGGCTAAACGAGAATAATGTTGCGCCACGCAACAAGACGCAACATTGTTGGGTCGCCCAACATGTTATCATTGAAGAGGGTGAACAAACGATATCCAACAACACGTAGAATTTTCGTGAATCCATGCTCGACGCATGCGTGACGGCTAAATTGAGATCTCAGAGAAGTTATCTTGCTCTTAATCTCAGCTAACGAGATACCTGGCAGTGTTTCTTGCAGTAAACTAAACGTTTCAATTCTCTTTTCTTTTAGATGGTACTCCTTATTGCAGACGTCCCACACACAAAATTGTTGCTCAAAAGTGTCAATCAATAATTCTACCTCTTGATCAGTACATTTTCGCGCTGTTTTTCTTTTCGTAGCTCTGTCTCTCTGGCTTTCTTCTGCAGGAATCGTTTCTAGCTCATCCTCGTACGCCGCCATCTTGAAAGACGTGTATGAGAATTTTGAGAGTGCGATACGAATGCGTTAGCGCAACATGTTGCGTTGACCTGGCCAAACGAGAAAATTTCACGCATTGTGGACACGAAAAAAGGAAATGTTCGCTCTTGTTGCGAAGAAAGTTTGACCGTCGTCAAACTTTATCTAACAAGTGCCTACACGTCGGAACAACTCGCAACAGGCTGGCCAAACAAGAAAATGTTGGGTGACCCAACAATGTTGCGTCTTGTTGCGAGGCGCAGCATTTCTCGTTTGGCCGGGGCTTAAAACTATCAA